CAAAGTACAAATATTCTTGATACAGAAACTGACTGCTAGAATACGCCCTCTCTGATTGCCCTTCCTTTACTGAAAATTGGCACATCTCATATGCAGATATTGTTCATGCAATCTGAAATTTAGAGCTGTAGTGATGTTCCATGCAGATAGTGTTCATATCCAGATACAGATAGTGTTCATGCAATCTCATATTTAATTGTACTTTAGCGATGTTTTATATTACTTAGGGCTGTTCATGGTCTTTAGAGAATCAAGTTAATTTTAGGTGATAAGCATTTCTTTAGCATTTTGATGTAAACTCAAGATAAACTCCTACAAAGCATCTGAGCCATTTCTCGAGTTCTTTTGCTCTTGTTCTTTTGCTCCAGGTGAGGAAGGAGAAGCTAGGGGATCGAAAATGTTCTTCTAATAGAAAAAGGTTCTTCTCACACAACTTGTGCTTCTTTAAATTTCACACACATAGTTCTGTAAGCCAACAATCCATCATTGAAATGGTAGCTCAAGAAAACCTTTTTCTAAAATGTCCAAATAGATGTTTTCCTAGCACCTTTTTCTGCATACATGAACTTTTATCTTCTGTTTGCAATGGCCTCTTTTCTGCCTAAGAGGTGGGTGTCCAGTTCATGGCTATATAGAAAAATCAAGTCATTGTCCTATTTTTTTTTTAGGAAAAGTAAATAAAAGAATAACTATTGGAGTTGGCCGTGCACTGGTTAGCTGCTGCAAAGTCGAAGTTCACAGTGAATTTGAATGATATAGTTAGTTATCAGTGTGTAAACATGTGGTTACTTCTATACCTAAGGGTGAGACAACAAACTATGTTCACATTTCTTCCTTCTTGCAGCAGTGAAGAAGCTAGTTTCATGAAGAATGGAGTAGAAGACATGTCTACCGGGGTGCTGATGGTTTTACCTTTACTATTTTGGTAGCATAGTTTTTGAATTTTTTCTGGATGTTGATTCTTCTGAACTTACCTTTACTATTTTGGTAGCATAGTTTTTGAATTTTTTCTGGATGTTGATTCTTCTGAACTTATACCTGTCATTAGTCTCTTAAATTTGTCATCTTCATTTCTATGTCCATGTGGTTATTATGAGAATTATGTTGCCAGGAGCATGATGTGCATGCAGATATGGTGTACTAAGAGTGTTTTGTATGGCAGCTATTAAACTGAAATATGCTGAGAAAAAAATTATTTTTTTTCTTTGGAAAATAGGTTTGTCGAATGTAATTCCCAAAAACACTTGGCAAACAATAATGGTATGCTGAGAAAAAAATTATTATTTTCTTCTTTGGAAAATAGGTTTGTCGAGTGTAATTCCTAAAAACACTCGGTAAACAATAATTCTTTGCCGAGTGTATTTTGGAAAAACACTCGGCAAACCAATTTTTTTGCCGAGTGTCAAATTTGACACTCGGCAAACCATTTGCTGAGTGCGCGATAAAAAACACTCGGCAAATAGCTATTTGCCGACACTGTAGATGCCGTATGCTGTTTGCCGAGTGTTACACTCGGTAAAGCCTTTGCCAAGTGCCTGTGGCACACGGTAAAGTCATTATTTTCGGTAGTGCACACTGCCCATCTCAATCATTAGAAAATGAAAAGGAGAATGGAATATGATTCTTGCTGTATGTAGTGGGTCTCACACACACACACACACAAAGATCCAGACCTTTTTTTTTTTGGTTTTTCTACCAGGTTATCATTTTTCCTGGAAAAAATACCAAAATTTTCATACACTTCAGTTTACATGTAACTTTTTGTATTTTTAATCATCTCCTAAAATTTGCATCGTTGAGAAAGAATCAATTGCTCTGCCGTGCAATGCAGATTCAGGGAATCTTTCGACATATATTCCCCTCTCCAGGCTTTCACTATAAATAGAAGCCAACTGGGGTTTTGCACTTCATACAACTCCAAACCTTCAGAGCTTACAAGGAGTCGCAGAGCTCAGAAGCATTGGTATTCAGCATACAGTGCACCTTCTTGAAGAACCGCAGAGGAGATCACACAATGAGCTATTACGGCAGCAGCTCTTCTGGTAAACTGTCTGTTCGATTTCTCCATTAGGCCAATCCTCTGGTCTACCATTTATGCCCACACATTATCCTGCATGGATGATCGATCATTCAGGTGGTCAAAGTAGTAGGAGAGTCAACTACGGGAGGACATATATGGTGAGGCCAAAGGGAAGGCACCTATAGCCACCATTGTGTGGCTCCATGGCCTAGGTGACAATGGTGCTAGGTACCCGCTTATTGCTAGGCTCATACCTACTTCTATTTTTCTTAAATTTTGGTTGTTCATATGCTGATCTTCCATGCATGCTATCTCATGCAACTGCCACCTGAATGCAAACTACACCTATCGGCCGCTCACTAACCGATAGGCCTACGTGATGCACAGGGACCTGTCGCCAGCTGGAGGGCCGACAGGGCCAATCGGCCCGTGGGAGGTCGACAGGTCAGTCGGCATTTGGTGCACTGACAGGGAAGTTGGCGGCCCAATTGCCGATACAGCTGTCGGGCACCACGCGACCAACAAATCTATTTCATATTGTATTCCTTCTTTTCTAGACACAACCATCAACCGATGTGATACTTTTTGATGAACACAACCATCTCCGGCTAGAATACTCGATGCACAGGCTAAACAATATCCTTTTACGGTTTAATTGTCCTTTGCCTCGATGCAGGCAAGTGACTATATTGGAGCGTTGCCTCCATTGCAAAAGTGTGCACATTAGTTCATTAGTTCGCATCACAAATTCAAGAGTACATTAGTTCGCATGCATACATCCATGCTAGCATACAACCATATAGTCCTACACGCTTAACCTACACGACGACCACACTTAGGTGCCTGCACACCTCGGTGACGAACCTGGGCCATAGGGTAAGTCCACTGGTCTGGAGGGCGTCGCTGTCGCACATGTGGGGTCGACTCTAGAAAGTTGGGAGGGCCCTATCTCCTCGGGAACCAAGGTGGAGTATCGTCCGTGTGAAAGGTCCCAAAGCTGCTAGTACCCTCCGCGTAGTCACTACAAGAAGCACGTGTACCTATACAAAAAAGGCTAGGTTACATAGAGCATGTTACGTACATAGTACATGAGAAATCTGGAAGGTAATCGTTGAATTACCTAGGACTTAAACCCTCTGCTGTGGCTCGTGCTAGGATGGACGAGAACGTCCTCCCGATCCGTCGACTAGAGGTGGTGGAGGAGGTGGAGGTGGAGGCACACCCTGGTGGGCGTGAACAACTACGTTAGTGGTGTGGCGGCAGATGCCCGGCGTACTCCCACCAAACAACGTTGCCCTAGTCGTCGAAGGCTGGCAACCAACTCCAGCCTACCAACCGTTGGGGGTTGTGCTCGAACCGTTGGGCATACGAAAGCAGCTTGTTGCCCACGTCACTGCAGATATCTGTCTGCAAGCAAGGCATGTATTGTCTCATGTATTGTTATGCTTCATCTGCAAAGTAAGGATACGACAACGTATGTAAGAAATTTGCTTATTACCAGCGCATGGAAACTAGCTGGTGGCTCCATCGCGAACGTGTCGGTGATCTCGGCCTCGTGTGGTGCGGCCTCTACTAGCATAGGGAAGCAACGGACGCGTGTGGCTCCATCACTACGTCAGAATAGCACTTCACTGCCGGTTCAAAACACCCCATCACTGCCAGATTTTGAACCAGCACAACCATACCGGCAGTAATAAAGGTCAGCTATCACTGTCGGTTCCTACAAACCGGCAGTGTTCTTCAACTTCATCTTGGCCAACACTGTCGGTTTGTTTCTAACCGGCAGTGAAGGTTACGACAACACTGCCGGTTTGTGGCTAAAGCCGGCAGTGCCATTTTGGCCAACACTATCGGTTTGTTTCTAACCGGCAGTGAAGGTTACGACAACACTGCCGGTTTGTTGCTAACCAGCAGTGATGACCCGTTCGCATTTTATTGTTTTATAATTTATTTTAATTTATATTTTTTCGTGGAATCGGGTTTCGCTTTATATACGCTACATAGACAACAGGTCCATCAATATTTACAAATGTAACGGTTACGGTTCAAATGTTCTTATCAAGAACTCGATCCCTCAAAATAAAAAAGAAATTATTTGATAAGATGAAGCATGTTTCTCGGACTTCTTACAATAATCTAGCGAGCCGCTCTGGGCCATACTGGTCCTTGAACTTCACGGATTGTGCGATGGAAAATACTCCATCTTTTTCCAATACCTCGGCTAAGATGAATTTTGCCAGCTCCGATTGTAGTGCGCCGATCTCCATGTCTAATAGCCTTTCGTGGTTATATCTCTTGCGCTATCGTTCAAAAAAGATGACATCCAAAGAGGAATCAGTAAATCATTTTATTGAATTATTAATAGACAAAAATAAAATGGGGATTATACACACCAACTTATCTACTTCCGATTTCCCGCCGATGTAGCGAGGTTCGGCTACGCACCTGGTGGTGCAGACAGACCAAAGGCCCCCAACAACCCAGGCGGGTTTGCCTCCTGACCAAGCCATCCACTAATGATAGGATCTGAAGCACAGCGCTTGAAATAACCAGGTCCTAACATTGCGTGCAGGTGCAAAATAATACCATAGGCTAGACGATCTTCGCCAGTAGATGGCATTTGCCTTCTCAAAATCCTATGGGCTTCAATATAAAGACTAGCAATGGCTTCAAGTGATAAGAATTCTGTATGATAAATTACCATATTATCAGGAACATTGAGATCATAAGTAAGCTTGATTAACTCCCTTAGTCCGTCAGACATGCGTCTTGCTTTTGACTCTTGAGTAAATCTCTCTCATTTTTGCGTGCAAGAACGATGAGAATCCAGGATACGTCAAAGGATAACGATCAGAAACACTAGACAAGTCTGTATCTAGCTTGAGAAAGACAAGTATGTTAAGCCCTGAGATGACCCCGACATTGCCATCAGCAAAAGCTCCAGAAATAGACAACTTCAATATCTTGGTAAAGTGGGCTGCTAGATACCCAGATCGGATAAATTTTTGGCAGATTCAGCTGTGAAGTAGTTGAAATCTTCGTCAACTGGCGATATCAGTCTGTCCATGGGTACTGGCTCCAGAATTGAGTTCTCGTTCTCCTTCATATAGCTGTCAAATGGTATGAACTGCTGTCTGCTGAATTGCATCTTTCCAAACGCGCCCCTACAATACAGAATAAAATATCACGTGAACAGTTTTAGTTGCACAGCTCCAGCCTGTAGTTTACTAAGAGTCACAAAGTAGTAGCAAGAAAAAAAAACTTAGGTTGCGAGGGACTTACAGCGCATAACAGCACTCTTGGCTGGATGCAGCAGCAGGCTGGGTAGGCGCAGTGGAGCAGCATCTCACCAGCAACAGCATTGCTGGTGAGGTGACAGGAATGGATCCCGTCCTTTGTCGAAGAAGTCCACGCAAGGCCGCGGCCATCAGGCAGGTTTGAGCACACCTGTGAATGGCCTCATATTAGATCATGAATCATGAAGTAATAAGAGTTGTAAAGTACAAATTCCAGTCCCCAAGAGCACTTATATATAAATCGCTTGCAGAAAGTAACATCGACACATACAAACAATAATTCAGAAAATTTTGACGCTCTCTTGAGGCCTATAGCCATCACCAACACTATTTGCTAAGCATGACAATGACCACGTACAATAGTGAATCTGGCAACTGCTAGCCATTGCCAGAGGAGCAAGAGCAAAACCAACTATCTCTATTTGCTAAGCATGACAATGACCACGTACATCGGTGAATCTGGCAACTGCTAGCCATTGCCGGAGGAGCAAGAGCAAAACCAACTATCCTTCCTTGCGTTTGAGATTCTTTCTATCAATGCAGCGGAGCGTTTGCGGACTGTGACTGTTCAGCCCAGCCCGCCGCTCGTCTCCCCCGCCGCCTGGCTGCCGGCGACCTCACCACCCGCTGCCAACCCCCGCCGCTCCATCCCCGCCCTTCCCTAATCCTAATCGGCCTGCCCCGCCAACGCCGCCTCCGACGCCGCCCTGGCTGCCGGCGACCTCTCCGCCCACCACCCGCCACCACCACTATAGCCCCGCCTTTGGTCACCCCCGCGCCGCCGCCGCCTTGCCTCTCGCCGCCCACGACGCATCCAATAACCTTATTTTGCTACCTCGCTCATAGTCGTCTGAACAACCCAAATTAGCGGATCTAGATGCACTTGCCTGAATGACGGGGCTGATGTGGCGATGGCGGCGTCGGTGTCGGCGTGATGTGGCGGCGACGGACCTGAGTCTACGGGAGGAGCCGCGGAGCCGCCTCGGGAATAGGCAGGGGCGCAGGTCTAGGGTTAGAGGGGGGGCTGTTATGCCCCAGGCGCCGATGATTTTTTTTGGTTGCATGCGGGATGCGGCCCATCTTGCATTGCTCTCACGGCCCAACACTTTCCACTCCATTCGCGGCCCACCCTACCTACTAGCGCAACTAGCGCACGGAGAAGCGCAACACGTAGCTCGCGCACAGAATTATTTCAAAAAATATTAGAAATTAGAAAATAGGAAAAATAATATGTGGGAGAGATCGAACACAAGATCAAAAAATTAAAACAATAATTCCTCATTTTTTGCGAGTATAAAATAATCATTCCTCGTCACTACACCATGTATATCAGTATATGGTTTGTCTTATTTATAAAATACTAAACTATACCATTATAAACCGTATTTGACCATTTAAATCTTCCACACTTACTAGAATAATGATTTAGATAAAATATACCACGTGTTATTTCATAGAGTATAAAAACTATGTAAGAGATAAAACAAATAAAAAATAAAAAATGTATTCAAAAGTAATAAAGGGAATAAGAGAAAACAACATGGATGCGGCCGTGCGCATGCACAGCCGCACTGCACTGTGCTTCGTAGTCGTAAAAAACAAACACAGCGTCTTCTTCCTCCTGAACTCCAGCTCCCTCGCCCACGCCGTCGCCCACCACCTCGCCGGTGGCGCCACCTTCTTCCCATCCCCCACGCCGCTGCTGCCTTGGCCATAGCGCCCCCGCCCTGACCTGGCCCGGCCGCCTCCACCGCCGCCAGCTCCCCTAAATTGCCCGCCGGCCATTCCCACCGCCTGCCCGGCCTTCCTCCCCAAACCCCCTTTCCTTCTAAGCCCGCCAGAATTTGGGAAGAAGAGAGGTGCACACCGAAACTCTAACGCGAGAGGAGGAGGAGGAGAAGGCCTACCTCGGCGGATCCGCCATAGCTGGCAAGCTCGACGTGGGTGCCGGCGTGGCCATGGCACGAGTGGCAGTGAGGTGGTGGGACGCGGGCGCGGGGAGGACGTTGCTGGGAGGAGCTCGCCGCTCGCTGGTCGCAGAGAGAGAGAGAGAGAGAGAGAGAGAGAGAGAGAGAGAGAGAGAGAGAGCATAGGTGGAAGACGACCTAATGGCGCGGGCGTGCGGAGAGACAGAGGGAGGTGGCGTGCGTTGTGGCTTAAAAACAGACACCCGTTTTTAAGTCATTGCCAAACAACATAAATTACATCAAAGAACAACATATGAACACTACTTAGACAACCTAAAATATAGCATAGAACATCTCACAGGTTCTATGTGAACACTTAAAGATAATCGTGGAACATCTCATTTATATATAATGTAAACATTGTAAAATACATTATAGAATATCACAGGTATACCATGTGAACATCATAAAAATGCATCATAGGACATCAAATGTATACCACGTGAACATTACAAAAATACATCATAGAACATCAAATTTATATTACTGAACATAACAAAATACATCATAGGACATCACATGTATACTACATAAACATCACATGTATGCTGCGTGAACAATACAAAATACATCATAGAACATCACATATATACTACATAAACATCACATATATACCACGCGAACACCATAAAATATATCATAGAACATCACATGTATATTACTGAACACGCCTCGCTATGAGAATGACACTTTGCTAACGCTCGGCTAAGTCGTCGAACCCTCGCGCAGACCATTCGCTTTCTCAGTAGCGAAAGCGCTTCTCTTTGCCCCTTAACTTAATCTTAATAAAATAAGTATTTGGAAAAGAAAGAGATTCTTGGTTTTATTGCTCATGCTTTTTCATTTGCGCTCGTCAAGCCACTAAATACATCATAGAATATCATATGTATACTACATGAACACCACAAAATATATCATAGAATATCAAATATATACTGCGTGAAACAACACAAAAAACATCATACAACATCATATGTATACTACGTGAACATGAGAGAATACATTAAGAAAGAAAAAATAAAATAAGAATGAAAAAACATAGAAAACTAAAAAGAAAGAATAAATAGAAGCAAGGAAAGAAAACATTAAAAATAACAAAAGAAAAAAGAAAAGAAAAGAAAAGAAAAATAAATAAATAAGAAAAGAAAAGGAAACACTGACAAGAGAATCAAGCGAACTAGATTTCTTTTTACAACAAATAGCAAGTTGGATAAGCTAGAGAAGCAGTTGCAACATGTCATGTGGTTAATTATCTACAAGCACAAGCTTTCGAAGACACTGTTGATGCCGAAAAATCCCGGTCACCAGCCGATTGGGATTTAGCCGATGGAAATCTCTCATCGTCGAACGACAAGCCTGGGAGATCTACTTAACTCTAATGCAGGACAAGTCGGTTTTGAGTTCACAGGCGTGCCAATTAGTTTGATCCTGCAACTGACAAATGATAGGACTGTTATTAGCTCAAGATGAATCATATCGGCTTCCATGCTAAACGCTTTCAGAAACTCAATCGGCTAAGGAGCCGATGCCTTCGGTAGAGGATCGACATAATAACAATATCATTGGCTGTAAGTCTCAATCATGGAAAACAATAGCCGATGACAGTAAAGGAAATAGCCGATATGTAAAAGAAGACATTGCTATCGGCTTAAGAGCTGATGGACATATATATCAAGGTATTTTAATATGAAGCGTATCGACTATCGGTTAGGGAGCTGATAGGTTGTAGCATGACGAGCAATTACAAGTTTTATTGGAACCAGAACTATGAACTTAATAAAATCTAATCTAACGTCACCACTAGATAGGTCGATAAGATGCAGTGTTGGTAGCAGGGCGATAGACTAAAATTGCAAGTCAATGGATCTTGCTATAATAAAATGAGTTCTTGAAAGCATACTACGAAGAGCCAAGATTAAGATACAATGAGCCAGAGAAACAATCTGACATCAACAAAGATATGATCAAGTTTGAAGGACAGCAACACAATAGATTTATAAGATATGAGCCGATGCATCTTAGGGCCTGTTTGGTTCCTCAGGCTCCTCCTAAAATTCCTGTCACATCGAATGTTTGAACACATGCATGGAGTATTAAATATAGACTAATTACGAAACTAATTGCACAACTTGCGACTAATTTACGAGACGAATCTTTTGAGCCTAATTAGTCCATGATTTGACAACGTGGTGCTACAGTAAACATGTGCTAATGACAGATTAATTAGGCTTAAAAAATTCGTCTCGGCAATTAGCCTCCATCTATGTAATTGGTTTTGTAATTAATCTATATTTAATACCCCTTATTAGCATCTACATATTCGATGTGACATAAATTTTAGGAGCGCCTAAAGAACCAAACACCCCCTTAATCAAGGCGAGATAATTCGATCAAATCAAGTAAGAAGTCATAAGATGCAGCCTTACAAGACGTGATAGAATTGATGACTAGTTAAACTAGACGAAACCACAGCGATGCGCCGGTGATTAAAGCCTAGAGCACCTGATTTAATGAAGACCGTGGCAGACTGGAGTTCGATTAGATGCAGCCCTGTCTTGCTGAGAACTCGTTGGGATCTACATTACATCCTACTCCTAATTGTGATGGCGTGATACCGAAAGCGATATGTTGTATTGATTGATTCCTAGATACAATAGCCGGGGCTTATATTTATACCCTGGGTTGACACAAAATCCTAAACGAATACGACTAGACATTTCTTGTATAAAAAGAAACTGATCTAATTTATATAAGTAAGACTCTACGGTTTCCTTTCTGGTAGAGTCTATTTTCATTATGCCTGATGAAAGGTTCTTGTGTGGTTTTGATAATTGAGTGACAACCTAGGTGGACTAATTGTGTTTATGTGAGATACACAGGTGATTAGTCCACAACTATATATGTGTGAGCAACATATGCCGTGAAGGTGAAAATGGTTTGGAGATGTTGCAAAGCTCACACATGTGATGATGAAGGAGCTTATTGCACATGAGACATGACATTGAGTCATGTGATCAAGGTGGAGAAGATCAAGACAAGACTTGGCTTGATGGACCGGTTGCAAGCGTGAAGGGCAAGTCGGAGGCTTTGGAGCGATGGACCGTGTGGCGGTGAAGCTTGAGCAAAACTTGATGCCGATGGACGAAGGTAACGGTGAAAAGCAAGTGAAGTCAAGATCAATGAACCAATATGATCACATGATGATATGAAGTGGATCATATCATTGTTGATCATGTTGGTGCATGTATTGCATCGACATTGGAGGAGATGGAATGGAATGCGCAAGGCAAAGGTATAACCTAGGGCATTTCATTTCACCGGTCATAGGTGTGTAGAGAAGTTGATGACCGGGTTTAGGATAGATGGTCGTACTATCAAGAGGGGTAAACTTGTTTGCATATCGGTCATCTAGTGCCACTCGAGTGATCTAACTTTGCATCATTGCTAGGATCGAGTGGCGTGGCAAGTTGAGTGGCTAATCCTTTGAAAAATGTTTGTGAAAAACTAACACACATACACATGGTGGTGCACACTTGGTGGTGTTGGCACATTTGCAAAGGAGAAGAAGTTAGAGTTGTTGTGAATCAACTTAGAGAAGAGAAAAAGATTTTTCGGTGTACTCCGAACTATAGGATGGTCCTTGGATTGGAATACTGTTTTGATCCATTGTGATTTGGATCAAGGATGCATGTGGGATGTGTAGCCCTCTGAGTAAGCTTTCCAAAATATCCAAGATCATCGAAATCGGAGTTCGGAGCTAAGAGTTATAGCTGTTTTAGCGCTGAAAGGTCTGTGACTGGACGCTGGCGCGAAAAATGACCAGACGCTGTTACCCAGCGTCCGGTTAGCACCTGCGAGTCCAGTCACAGTGTCCGGTCAGTGTTTTTAGCGTGTCCAGAAGCGACCGGACGCTGGGATAGTTCGGTCGCTGAAAAACATCGCTGGAACCTCTCTGTAAGTGACCGGACGCTGGGTTCTAGCGTCCGGTCGTTATGACCAGCGCGTCCGGTCAGTACGCGCTTTGCCTAGTGAAGGGGTAACGGCTATTTTAGCCCTTGGGACTATAAAAGGAGTGTGTGGCCAGCCTTGGGCTGGTTGCTGAGCACCCTCACGCCTATGTGGCTTGTGTAGGAGTGCTTGGATGCCCTCTA